GCCATGCCAGGAACAGGTGCCCAATGACACAGTCATGACACAAAACCCACCACATGGAGAAAGAACAAACTCCAGGGCCTTTCACCTGTTACTCATCAAAAGGACAATTTGTGTTTTCTTCTAAAGCTGACATGGACTTACCAGTAGCTCGTGCTTTAAAAAAACAGTGACCGCACTTGAGTCTACAGATGCCCAATAGGTAACTAAAAGTAGAACAGAGCTTTAGCTTCGCTTGTAAACTTGTCAAATACAGGCATGTTAATCATTTCAGAAGTGTTTGTCTAAGAGTTGGTAAAGCAAAGGTTGTTAGTCCTAAATTTACCTGAACTATCTCATCCCTTTTAAGACTAAGGATACCAAGGTAAGAGATTTATAAACGTAGGGTCACCTTAGATTCCAGAAACCTCACATAACTGAAATTTCCCATCAAGACATCCGGATTCATGGGAATCAAGCTGCCTCTCAAGTCACAGGGATTCAACCTGGGCTATGAAATCAGGTTTGAGATAATGATCGACTGGACCGCAGCACACCATAGCACCCCATAAAATTAGTCTCTTTTCTTTCAACAGACCAGTCTGATCCTTTTCATCAGTACTGCAATCCTTCCAGTTACCCTGGAAAGCTACAGTCTTTACCCTGTCTTCTCTTATCTTCCAATTAAAGCTTTTGTCTGTGCAGTCATGCAGTCATGTTCCTTTTCCATTAGTGATCTAAAGCAAAGACCCTCCCCACCTGGTAATCACCCCTTGGAGGCCCTAAATCTCTTTTGGCCCTGCCCAGGGTCTCAGAGGCCAGAAAGATGTAGACAGCGCCCGGTCCTACCTTGGCCCCTCCCAGTGTCACCAGCTATTGCACCTCCTTGCTTTGGTGATAGTTACAGTATGAACTGAGAGGCAAAAGCTTTTGAACAGAGAAAATGAAGGGGAGTAGAGCTCTGACCAAGGTCAAGTCCATCTCTCAAGCAAGGAGTCAGATAAGATAGGGAAAGGGCTTCAGCCAGAGGAGCTGAAAGGTGAGCAGGTCTGGAGAGGAGGATCAGACTGGCCTGTTCACCAAAGGACAGAGACCAGCTATATGGTGTTGGGCTGAGGCGTGGCTGATCACTACCTCAGCACTGGTTTCTTAACTCTGCAGGAATCCTCACAGCTTGAGAGGTGAGACTCATTTACCATAAAGCAATGGCCTCAAAAAATGATGGTCTCTGTGGCTGTTTGAGCCATGTAAAGCTCTGCTTTTCCTAAGACCCAAGTTTAGGCCAACAGCTGTAAGAGTTGTTCTAGGGACCCTGTGGAATCAGATGTCCCTGAGAATCCTGAAAATGATGTGAGTGGTGTCCTGTTGAGCACTCATCTTGAAGGACAATGAGGTAGTAACTAGGTAAATTTAGGGCCAGCTAATAACTATTGTCTTGTCAATTAGTAGCAAATCTGAGGTAGAAGAGAATGTTACCCAAGGCTATTGGTATCTACATTCCCTAGGTTAATCTGTGCTCCTGTCCTTTCAGACCCAAGACAACTCAAATTCCTTAAGGATACTGAAAGTCTGAAGGTTAGTTTCACTGAGAAAGAGTAAAGCCTTGATTTTAAAGGAACAGACTGACAGAATTCAAAGGATGCTTGAATTATCCATCTTAAAACCACAATAGACTCGGACCTTTCACATCCTGTAAAAAGGGCTACTACCCTTTCCAGGGATGGGCCATCTTTTTAATGTCCTCAGGATATTGCTTAATATAAATGTTCCCAGTTGAGAAGATAATGTGCCTCTCTTAAGGGCCCCCACTCTATTTCTGTTGAGTGTGTGCTTTTAAAATTCTGCCTAATCCCTTTATGTCTTTTACTGACTCAACACGGAAAGTGTTTTTCTGCAGCAGAAGTCGGCAAATTTGCAACCTGTGTCATGGGTTGTGTGAGTCAAGGTTCTCATCTCTGCCTTGAGGCCCACCTTGGACCCTGTCTGGTGATGCACCTGTGTCTACAGTTTAAGGTAATAAGAACACAAAATGAAGGCCAAGCTCTACACTAGTTTCAGTTACCACTGGGCATCTGTAGGCCCAACTGAACAGTCACAGTATTTTTTGTTTTTGTTTTTTCAGCAAAAACCTTTTTAAAGGCCCTATTTCAGAACACAAATCATGCCTTTAATGAGTAGCAGGTTAAGGGACTTGGAGTTTGTGCTTTTCCCAGTAGTTCCTGATAATGTCATCAGCTCATACAAGCCCATCCTTGGAAAAGCAGTCTGGCCACTGCCAGTCAGGTCTACAATTTTTTTTAATAAATTTTTTAAAGGGTTTTTGGAATTAAACAAGAGGACTTTGGACTTCTTCCCAGGCCTGTCCCCTACTCTCTCCCTAGTTACTACATTTCCCTGATTGGGCTTGAATCTACCCTCTCCCTCAGCCACCCAGAGTGCTGGGATTAACAGGTGTGCATCAAACCTGGTTTGCCAACCTTTTTCTCAGGCCTCAAGCACAAGGAAACCTAATGCAGAGGCTCCCATAGTTGGGGTCTCTTCCTAGAAGTCACTGTGAAAAGCAACACTACCAGGAAGGGTGTGGGACAGGGCCTTTGCACTGGATGAAGCAGACTATAGCCTGGGCACAGAGTGGACAGCAGGAGGAGGGGCAGAGGGTAGGCAGGAGGCGCCCAACTCTGAATCCTGAAGCCAGGGGTGTTCCTACAGGCCAGAGCTGAGGGCTAGCTAGGGCCTGGGTTTTGAGGAGCCAGCAATCTCACCTGCATGCACATGCTGAGAATGGCAGGAACTGGGTAGATTTTTCTGTGGAGGTTGTCCTGGGGCACATGGGCAACTGAAACAGGAAAAGAGGAGCTCCTGCCTTTTCAGGGGCAGGGTTGGTATGCCCAACCTGGAGCCTTAACCCACACCTGGCCCCTGAAGGCAAGTTTTGGTGCTAACCCTCCCCCCACTTCCCTCCAGGTTCAACAAAAGGAAACTAAGCCTTAGGCACCTTCCAATCCTCCCCCTCAATCTCTTTTCTCCCTCTCCAGTTGCAGGCTCAGGAAACTAAAACTCACCTTTTGGGCTCCTCCCTTCTCTCATCCTGCCTCCCTTTGTGCCCCACCCTCTCCTGCCTCAAGGAGTGAGAAATGGAAACTCAGCACCAGGGTTCCCCCCACCTCCGACCCTGTTTCTGTATACAGTTCACTTCCCTCCCTCCTCCTGGCTCAGGAAATGGAAACTCAGCTTCTAGGCTCCCCTTGCCTCCACAGAGGGGCCATGACTCAGGCTCTCCCTGCAGACCCCTCAGCCTTCTTACTCTCCTGAGGCAGCAGGAACCAGACAGGAGTACCAGCTACCCCAGGAGGTCCAGGCTGCCTGGACCTCAGCCATTAGAGGACCCTGCCCTTTAAAGCAGAGCAGAGGGAAACCTGGGCCCTGAGGTCCCAGACCAGAGAAAGCCAAGTAGCTTCAACTCCTCTGAGTAATGAAAAGAGTCACAGGTACAGATGGTACCAGGAGGGAGTGCTAGTGTCCCTGTGACTCCCTTGTCCCTGGAGTGCTATCCTACCTCCTGACCCTGAGTGGACCCAGGTACCCTGAGACCAGGCCCAGAGAAGCACTGTCCGCCTGAGGGCCATGGCCAGAAAAGCACCATGGAAGGCTGACTCCCACCTTTGTTCTTCTTGCTTTTTAACACTGCAGGCACTGTTCTTCCCAACCGTGATTCCCAGCTTCCCCCTGGACTTGCTTAACTGGAACCAGGCAGCCACCTTCTCAGAGCTTCCCTGGGCAGATACCTCTATTTGTGTGAGGCTGACACTGCCCTTCTGTCGTAGACTTGGTCCCTGCTCTGGTGGCAATGATAAAGATACAAAACTCACAGGGTTCAGATGCCCACCCTGAGCCTCCTGAAGACCACCATCCCCCTGCAGGGTGGGGTTCTTAGGACACTGACACAATCTGCCACCTGGACAAGCAGTGACTTAAAATGAGACACACCCTGAGGCAAATCATCAAGGGATTATGTGACAGTGGCAGCAGGTGTAGAAACAATGAGTTAAGGTGGCCAAAGAGCTCACCAGACTTTAACTGTCTGCCTGTTAGGCACATTTCAGGCTGTCTATAAGTGTTTGCATTGTTCTTGGGTCATCTGACCCATCAGCAAGGGGTTTCTTGGGCCATAGGATGAGGTGCTCTATTTGTGTCTTTGGTGAGATGTCTGGTGACATTTCCTTTCTTTATGAGACTTGTTTGTTACATGCCCATTGTCCAGATGGAATGTGGCATAGTTTTATATGGAGGACTGGGGAAGGGGATCATGGCCACAAGCAGGCCCCACCTCCCTGCTAGATCCTCCTCTGACACAGGAGAACAGCCAGAACAGTCCTGGAGCAGACCCTGCCCTGGCTCCGCTTTCCCCAACCTGAGACCTAGGGAGTGCCTGCAAAACACCAAACTGCAAAGGGCATCTGGACTCAAGGAGAACAGCCTCCTGCATGCTTCTGCCCCTGTTCCTTACCAGCCCACTGTCAAGAGCCCCATGGTCTAGGCACAACTGCTGCCCTGGGCCATGTTTCCTGTGAGCTCAAACCATGTTTTATCTGCAAAGGTCAAGTAGACACAATCAGACCAATTCAGTTACTGAGTGGGTGTAGCTGGGGATCTAGGGATTGGCACTATGTCCAGCCTGTCCTAGTCTTACCACAGGCCTAGAATGACTGTGCCTGGGACAGTAGCCTCCTCAATCCAGGCTCACTGAAGCACCATTGGTCTCCACGTCCCCAAATTGGGGCCATGACCTTCTTTCTTGACCTGTGTAAGTCCCTGGGTCAGGGTTCCCTTTTAGACTTCATAAGCAGCTAGCTGTGAATTTAAAGGGCCCTTATCCTCCCCAACCAACCTAGTGGGCTCAGTTTGTGCTGTACCAGAGAGGATACCCAAGCCCTTCTCAACCTGAGGATCTCTGCTTCTTCCTTCCTCATATGGGCCCTGCTGGCAGGGGGAAGGGGCACAAGGACAGCAGTGCAGAGGAGGAATGGGTGGGAAAACCATTTATTTGAGGCACCAAAGCAGCAGTAGGGCACCCACGTGAGGGTGGGTCAGACAGGGTCTCAGCTGAATCTTGGATGGATGCCTGAAGCTGAGGGCATTAGCAACATCTTGAAATTAGTGCATTGTGTGTGCAGAAATGCCAGGGTAAGGGGCTTTCCAGGGTGCCCCCACTGGGCCCAAACTTGTCCTGCCCTCCCCAATACATCCCTCCAACCAACAGCCTGCCAAAAGGACCTGGGATTTAGGTGTTCCTCCTGGGTGTCTACAGGACTAAGCCCCATCCCTAAGGCCCTACGACTTTAGAGGGAGCCCAGAAATGAGGCAGTTGGCATTGGAGCAGGGGTGGGTTTGGCCCTGTGTCCAAAGGGGTGGATCAGGCAATGAGAAAGAGATGGACGCTCCAATAGCCTCCTGGTGTCTGGAAGGAGCTGGGCTTTTCTTCCTGAGCTGGGGGAGCATGGGGCATCAGGTAAGGAGTTCAGGGGGCCAGCCACAGTGAGGCTGACAGCAGGCTGAGCAGAAGCCCAAGGCTCATCAGTAGGGCACTGGTCTGAGGCCCACCTCCAGCAGCACTGAAGTTACACAGAGAATTTGAGCAGCACGTGGTACCCACATTTACCACGCCAATATCAACGCTTGGACCAGGGCAGGCTGGAGAACATCCTTTGTTCAGGCTGTAGCCAAAGTCCACGAGTTTCCCTGCATGGAAAAAGTGGCTGTGAGGAGAGAGACAGCCCCTGCAGAGCTCTGGCCTCAGGCTGGGGAAACAGGTAAGTGGGGACAACAGGGTTGAGGTCTGGCCACTCCTTACCAGCACTTACCAATGCCACCGGAGGTAGATACGGTCACACAGTAGTTGTCAGAGTCTGAGCAGATGGTTGGCCACAGGCAGTAGAAATTGCTCTTCTGATTAGTGCAGGAGAAGCACATGAGGGAGTGGGCTGCAGAAGGAGGGACATGCTGCAGGCTATGCCTTTCTCACTCTCAGGGAAGTCTTCCACTGTACCCCCCTAGCCCAGCCTTGGACACCCAATTGTCTGTGGACATTTACTGGTGACACCAGACTGTGGCCCTCCCAAGCTTAAGTGACCCCCAAACACAGGGTGACAAAAGAATGGCCAGGCTTCTAGAAGGCCCAGGAGAACCCAGAAATCCTCATGGGCCCTGTCCTGGAAGGACTTCTAGTCTCTGCTCAGAGCAGCCATGAGAGGGAATCTATGAAGGCTTGGCCTGTGAAGAAGTCTAGGGTCCCAGGCACCATACCTTGCTCCACACCCAGGAGGGCAGCCAGCAGCACTGGCAGGAAGACCTTCATGCTTGAGGGGACAAACATCCGGGGAGGGCTTACAAAGCCAAAGAAACCAGTCTTGCTGTGGCTGTGAGACAAGCAGCTGTTAGAGAGCCAGGCTGGCCATCCATGGCCAGGGACCCAGAGTGAGGTGTGACTGGGCACACCTCTCTCTTCCCAAGTGTCAGGCATCCACACTTTGTACAGGGACCTTCCAGCATCCAGCTAGTTACAAACCTCCATCACCAGATCTGGGAACAGCAAGGCCAGGTTGGGGTACCATCAACATTTTTGGAATCTGGCAGAAACCAAAGCCCGGGGGAATAGCCCTTGCTGGTGGTCCTGACATAGAGGAGTGGTGATCAGAAATGGTACTGGCTAGCTGGGTGCCCACAGTCCAAGCCACTCCTCAGGTGGTGCCCTAGGGGCTTTGTAGAGGGCTATGGCACTGAGTTGTTCCCTGTGGATGAGGGCTGGGGGCCTGCTCCCCTTTTTCCTGTTTCCATAGGGGTGCCCTCAGTGAGGCTCTTCCACCCACTCCATGGCTGGGAGGCAGCTTAGAGAGGAGACAGCAGGAAGGGCACAGGTGAATCTTGGCTAGGTAGGGACTCCTGATGGCTGTGGGCTCTGCACCAGGATTCCTCTGTAGGGCTGTCGTCTGTGGCACTGGATGGAGCAAGCTGGAGGCAGGCTTTGGCTCATATCAGCCTTGGACAGGGGAGGAAAAGGAATCCTGGGGAGTACAGATCTGGGCCGGCCAAGACCAAGAGGGCTGGGGCACAGGCCAGGACCCTGAGGACTTCAGCCTTTATCTGAAAGGTTAAAATGGATCTTTAAAAATTAGGATTTAAAAAAAGATAAGCTGTTTCTCCAAATTTCTTCAGCTAAAAACACCACTCCACCCCCAAGCTCTGGGGCCAAGGAGGACTCAGTGTTCCCAGTCTGGGCCCTGCATGTTGGAGTGTGCGTCTGAAAGCTCCACAAGAGTGGACAAGCTGTTCTCCTAATTTGGCCAAATTATGAATAAAACTCATCATTTTTCCACTTTTTAAAGAAGCTTTCTCTTACTTGATGGCAGGTAGGTGAACAATCCAGGCCTCAGATTCAGGCCTTTGACCAAGCCCGTCAGCCCATTGGCCTGGCAACACACTGACATCCTGGGGCTGGAAAGAGCTCCAGATGCTCAAAGTTAGGGCCAACATCAGTGCCAAACCTGGCTGGGCCTCTTTCTGCCTCCGACAGCCCAGGGAGGGCACAGTCTACAATTCCTCCTCCAGGAAGTAAGGTTTTAGCCAGAAAGAGCCCTGAGCTGTCTCCAAGAAAGCTCTAGCATGCACAGCCAGGAGCAGGCTGGGTGGCATCCCTCCCTGTCCACTGTGAGGCACCTACCTAGCGAGCTCTGCAGAGCTGAGCTAAAGCACTGGCAGGGTAGGGGAGTCTGTCTGATGCTCCCTATCGCAGCGAGAACCAGCAGGCCCTTGGCAGTGACACCCAGGACCCTGAACTCAGAGAGGGCCCCTGAGCAGCCAGCAAAAGAAGTAGGAAGGAATGGGAAGGGTACAGGTGTGGCAGCGCACTTTATTTACAAGTATAACCTGACCCCAAACCAAGAGTTGTTTTCTCTTCCACGGGAAAGGGCTCAATCCGAGCATAATCAGTCATTAGGCCCATCATCCTCCCCTTCCGGTTAAGGACTTTCCCAAGATCCTGTGCTTCTCCATCCACCAGTCTATCCCACGCTGGAGAGTTGGCTGTTGGGCCCTGGTGGCAGCACAAACCCTGGCCCCAGGTCCAGTCCTGGACCTCAGGAAACAGGGAGGTGTGGGGGATGGGAGCGGAGACTCAGCCTGGCAACCGGCCTCTTGATGGCCGCCACCCCAACCCCCGACCCGCGCCCTCCTGAGCTCCCTCCCACCTTTTGCCAGGCCCTAGGAGCTAACGGACGCGGGCGACTCACCGAAAGAGGTTTGGTGACCCAGCCTTGCTGAGCTCGGATCAGCGCGCAAACACTCCGGGGTAGGCGACGCGCTAGGCCAGAGGCGGGGGCGAGCAGAGGCGGGGCGAGGCGAGGCGGGGCGGGGCCGGGCTGAGGACCACCCCCGCCGCGGTTTCAGAGGGTCCCGGAACTGTTTCCTGTACCCGCCCCGCCAGCCTTGGAGTCTGTCCAGATTTTACCCGGTGAGCCTTCCAGGAAAGTCTCCAGGCTCCAAGTGACACACGGAGAGATGCTGTGACCCGCTCCTCCAAGACCCCCAGCGCGCTGCCCGCTAGTCCTTCTCATTCCCTTGCAGGACCGCCCTGGAGGGGCTGAATGGGCAGCTAGGGCACTGCAACAGCCGCTGACACCTGGCCTGTGGGGGGCCCTGGCCAGACCCCCCCCTGGGTAGTGTGGGGGCCGCATTCGGGAGGACGGTGGCACAGCGCGGGGCGAGCGGGAGGATGCACCTGTGCTCCAGAGCCTCATCTCTGCCCCGGCCCAGCTGCCTCAGGATGTAGTCGGTGGCTTCTGTGGGCCATCTGGCCCAGACCCTCTTCCCCTCTGTGCAGGCAGTTGCCTTCACTGCTCTGGGACCCCAGCCAGGATGAACCACAGCCTCCTCTCTGCTCCCCCCCCCCTGCAGCCACTCCTCTCAGCCCCCCTCTCAGCTGCTGCTTCCCCTGCGATTCCACTGTTTCCCCTGCGTTCTGTATGTACTTTTCTTTTTTCTGTTGCTACCGGGGCTGGAACTTATGACCACAGGCTTGCAAGGCAGGCGCTTATGCCGCTGAGCTAAATCCCCGACCACATGTATCTTTCATGTATTTTTGTCTTTCAGCAGCCACCAAGTGCTGTTTCATCCAGTGTGCAGCTACTGCTTGTGGGCTGCCTCCTGCCTCTTTGGAGGGGCCTGCTGGGAGACATCGCACAATGGGCAGGAGCTGGCCTTCAAGCTGGGCTGTTTATCTGGCACTCCTACAGACCTTGTGTACCGGGCCTGGGTGTCCCAGTCTGGGCCACCTACCATCTAACAGTCGCACCTCACTCTGTTGTAGCGTATTTCTCACAGCAGTAGTTGCGTCACCCCGTTCTGCTCACCTCACCTCCCCAGCATTACCCAGGGACAATGGACAGGGAGTCTTTTCTTCCACACCCAGACTGAGGTGTGTGGCCATAGTTCTGAACTGTGGCTGTGGACAGTAAGGGGGGGTCCACAGAAGGGACTACTTAGCTCTGAACACAGAAGGAGGGTTGGGGAAGGGGAGACAAGGGCAGGGTGTGAGGCAAGATGTTGGGCAAGCCAGAAAAAGCTGGACTGGGACACGTAGGGAAAGGAGGCCAGGCAAGGCAAGACCGGGGCACGTTCATCTTTGAATGTGATGCGTGATTTGTGTGAGCGTATGTATATCTGTGTGAGTTGTGCAGGTGTGTGTACATGTATTGAGTGTATGTGTGTGTGCCTGGTGTGAGTACATTTGTGTGTAGTATGTGTGGTATGTGTGAGTGCATGATATGTATGTGTGTGGTATGAGTATGGTTTGCGTATATGTGTGGTGTATGCAGCACTTGTGAGTGTGTACAAGTGTGTGGTAAGTATAGTACATGTCAATGTGTATACATGGTGGCTCACATGCCTTTGAAATGCTGTGTGTAGAGGACAGCAGCTGTGCATGGCCAAGGTGGAGCCTTGTCAAGGCCTAGTATCTCTGGTGGGGTCATTTCTTGCAAACTGCCCTATAGGGCATCTGGCTGGCTCCCTTTGTGCCATGCCTGGTTTGGGCTGTGTGAGCAGTATTTGTGCAGTTTAGATTAGCCTCGAACACTCATCTGTGGAACAGCTGCATTCCCTGGACATAGGAGGCTGGAGTGTATGTTTCCTGAAGGAGGTCCCCAAGAGGTCACCATCCAGAGTGATGCTGTAGCAGACCTACTCGGACTCGACTTGTGCCCCTGACTCCCATGTCTCTCCCGTAGAGGGACCAATGCATGGTACTGTTTGTCCCTTCATGAATCTGTAGCCCCTTATTCTGTCCACTTGACCTCTCCAGGACTGCCAAGGGACACAGGGTGAGTCTTTTCTCCACACTGAGACTTGGATATTGGCCTTGTGTGACAGCATCCTCTTTGGTTTAGCTTACCCTCCCTGTGCCCAGGCCAGCCCCTGCAGCCCACGCACATCTTGTGCTAGGAGAGTGATCAAGGCCCACCCTAGGGAGGGTGTGGTTATCTTGATCTTTCTGGCTGGCTGGACTCCATGTGGTGACAATGGTCATTAAAGTGACTTGGGCCTGGGTCAATGGTATGGTCATGGTCCAGTGTCCATGCCACTGTGAGGTAGACCTACATCTGGCTATCTTGTGCCTGAGGATGTGACCTTCAGGAGTCTCCAAGATCCCTCACAGTGATCCAGTCTCCAGAGGCCTTCTGGAAGGCATTTAGCTCTTCATCTTTGTGGACATCCAGATCCTCTAACCTTGAGCAATTTTATGACTCATAGATATGTCCTCCCCTGTGTCTGTTTTTCTGATTTGGGCCTGGGGCTCTTGGTTGAATTCCTACCGCCCTTCTGCACATCACTGCAGGGCAGGGCTTGGAGAAAGGACCACAGCCTGAGTGGACTGAATCCTGTGGGTGGAGGCACAGGACCTTCCTCTGTGGCCACTAAGCTTGTTTCTCAGTTTTAAACCTGAAACTTGTGAGTGGAGCTGCTTCCTCACCCACTGCCCTCCCTTCTTCTACATAGTACTTTTTGGAGAAGGCCCCATCTGAAGCAGTAAAGCGGGATGAGTCGCATACCTCCTTAGTCCTCTTGAACCCTCCTGAGGCTCTACCCTGGAGCTCTTCCTCATGTCCAGCTGATGACTCAAAGGCCAAGGTAGGCAGTCCAGCAGGTTCAGGCAACTCCGAGACATGAGAAAGAAAAATCCCCTTCCATGAGAGAAGGCCGACAGACCAAAGAATGACCACTTTGGTGCAACTGAGTTTTTTTAGGGGTCTCTCAAAGAGAAGTGGATGACATGGGAGCTGTAGTACCACAAAATTTGCCAACAACCCTTTGTTCAGCTACCGGTTTTGAGGGTACTGATTAACACAGCAAAGATTAAAACAAGAATTGGTTGGGGAAAAGTTGTGACATCCATTCCCATCCAACCATTATTGGGAACCCCGCAAGTCTCAGCAAGCACTGTCCAGCAGTGGTGGTAATGACCTTGTTGCACTGCAGATGGGTGCACAGCCTTAGCACCTGGCAGGAGCCATGGCAGCTACATGGGTACCCACTACAAGATGGAGGCACTTTGGCTGGGGTGGGCAAGCAATTCTCTCTACACCTAGACAGACTCTTTTCTCTTCTCAAACACTAACAGCCTTGAGAAGTTCTGGACCCTGCCCTGGAGCAGACCTTTATCTTCACCTCCTTGGTGGTAATTAGGGGCATCCTGGCACTAGAGGCCTTGGGGACCAGCCCTCTCCATGGCTACTCTTGCAGAGTCTTCCCTAGCTTTGGTGTCCCCTATACCTGGGTTGCCCAGAGCATTTTATAAGAGTAAACTAAGAATAAACGAATGGATGGAGTTAGATGCTCTGATGGGAAGGAAGTACCTCCTGCACAAGTAGCCTGTCTTCCCAGGGATCAGCCATTTATTTGTCTCCCAGGTCTGATCTAATAAATAATCAGAAGCATAGGCCTCTTGTAACTTGGGGAACTCTGGCCACAGCTGAGGAAGCATTTTGTCTTAGTTAGGTATCAGGGGACAGTGATGCTGTCTCCAAAGACAGGGGAACCTGATGTGAGCGGCAGGGGACAGCTAGCAGGGCAAAGGACCAAGGATAGTGATTCCCATGTGGTGGGTGTAGATCTTCACAATGCCGTCTTTTCCCACCTTGCAAAGAATTCTGATGTTTGGGTGAGAGTGCTTAGATCTTGGAAGGGCACATTTAATGTTGAATGACTCCCAGTCCCGTCTCAGGGCTGTGTGCTTAGATGGGTTGTAGTACTGAGTGAGGAGAAATGTGTACTGCTGTCCTATACCTGGATGGACCTATCTGCAGTGGGGATGAACAGGTTAAGAAAGCACAGGAAATCCTTAGTCCTTCTTGGGGTTTTCAGATAAGGAAACTGAAAGTCTCTGGTACTTACTTTTCGGTGGTATCCACTCAATACAATTGCAAAGGATAGGTAACAAAAACTAAAAGTAGAAATGGAGGCAACTCTGTGTGGGAGGAAAAGGCAACATGTTTTATAAGGGAAGTTATAGGAGACTGTGTTGAAGGAAGCAGAGGGTAATAATAATCCTCATAATAACAGTGTTTCCAATGAGGAAAGAGCTATTGTACTAAACTAAGGGGCTGGGAATGTTATGAAGCTTTGAGAAAGATAAAAAAGATTTTGGGAAGGAATGGGTCTTGCAGAGGAGCTAATTTGTGATCAAACTGCTAAAAGTCATCTATAGGATTATCAAAATTCAGAGTTATACTGTACAGAACATAAGTTTAATACCCTTGCTGAGGTAACAGCAATTTTTTTTAGCACAGAAAACAAATTTTCTTGAAGCACAGATCTGAGGGTTTTTTGTTTGGTTTTATTTATTTATTTGTTTGTTTGCATGCTGGGTATTGAACCTAGGACCTTTGCACTGGGCCAAATCTTTTCTTCCTTTTTACAAGTTTTTGTTGTTTTGAAACAGGGTTTTTATTGAGTTGCCCAAGATGGACTTAAGTTTTTGATCCTTCATGTCAGCCTATTAGAGTGCTGAGACTTAGGCAGACCCTACTTTGAAGAGGAATAAAATCAAATGAAATAAAACAGAATAAAGTCAATCAAAACAAAACAATGAACACTGTACAGGACTTCAAAACAAGATAAAAGAAAATCTACAATGGCTATTATAATGTCTCTTTTTATCTTCAAAATTACTGTCCATACCTTCAGGCACAACAAAACCAAAGAAAACAGAACAGAATAAAACCAGTCAAAACAAAACAGTGAAAGCAATGTAGGACCTCAACACAAAGCAATAGGAAAACATCAGTGACTACCATGCCATTAGACACAACACAGTCAAGCAAAACAAAGTAGAATAAAATCAATCGAAACAAAACAATGAAAGCAATACAGGACATCTTTGAAATAGCTGTCCATGCCACCAGATATAATAAAATCAAACATAAGAAAGCAGATTAAAACCAGACTAATCAGAACAATTAAAACAATACAAGATTTTAAAACACAGTAATATATTAACAATGGCCACTGCCTTCCTTTTTTAGACATTTCCTCCCCTTTCACTTTCAAAATATTTATTGTGCATTTTGGGTCCTACTAACTAATTTTTTAATACTAGGGAGACATCAGTATGTTCACCCATGTGACTCTGAAATGTTTCTCCCCTGAGCATGACCTCAAGAGGCTCAAGGTTATCTTTCTTTATAGCAGAGTAGTTTTCCATTGTATAAAAGTGTCATGGCTTTCTTATCCACTCTATAGCTGATGGGCAAGCTACCCCCACTTCTTTCTGGTTCTCTGTCACAGAGCATTGTTCTCTCTCCTTTGATTTTCAGTCAGTGAACCCCCTTTTGAGTTACATATGATTCTTTTATAAAACATATTGATGGTTCCTGTCTCCTGATCCACTCTGCCTGTGTTTCTTTTTATTGGAGAATTGAGGCCAACTTCATTAATGGTTATGGCCAACATGTAATGGCTCATCTCTGCCATGCTATTTTTCTGCTGTTGGCTGCCTAATTTTCCCCTCCATTCAACTGTCTGTCCTACTAGGTGATCCCCTTCTACCACTGTTGCTGGAACCTTGGTCTTTTTTTTTTTTTAAATCTCTCTGTGGAATGTTCTTCAGTATTATTATAGGATTGGTTTGTTGGTTATGAATTCCTTCACTTGTTCTTTATCATGGAAGTATCTTGTTTTCCATTAATTTTGAAAGACAGTTTCATAGGGTCAATCTGGGTTGGAAGTTGTTTCCTTTCTGTACTTGAAATATTTTATTCCAACCTCTTCTTGACTTGATGGTTTGTGTAGAGAAGTCTGCTGTGATTCTGATGGGTTTTCCTTTATAGATGATGTGTTTCTTTTCTCTAACAGCTTTTAATATTTTGATCTTGTTTTGAATTTCTGGCATTCTGGTTATTGTATGTTTGCGTGTAGATTTATGTTGGTTGTAGCTAGCTGGAGTTCTATATGCCTCACTTATCTGTATAACATGTGCTTTTCCCATGTCTGGGAAGTATGCTGCTATTACTTCTGTAAATAGAATTTTAATGTCATTTGTGTTGACCTCTGATTTTTAACTGACGCCTGTTATTCTTAAGTTATTTTGCTTTGCATCATCTTGCAGTCATTGTATTGCTATTTCCTGGTCTTTGTTATTTTTAAGAGATCTTTCCTTTCACAATCACAAGCTGTCAAACCTGTCTTCCCGAGATCTGAAAGTCTATCTTCAGCTTCTTTCAAGCAGTTTTGACAGCTTTCAAAGGAGTTTTTAATTTCCTGGATACCTTTTTGAATCTGTTTCAAGTATTCTGAATCTTTTTTTATATTGTTCCTCCAAGGTTTCCCTCATTTTCCTATGCTCCTCTACTTTTTTTTATCTATGTCGTCTTTAGAGTTGCTTAGCAATTCTTTTATCATGTTTTTATTTCTTCTTTTACCTGAGATAGCATTTCTGTTCTAATTTCTTTTTTTTTTTTTTTTTTTTTTTTTTTGTCTTTTTTGTTTTATCGGTACCGGGGATCGAACTCATGACTGCCTGCTTGCAAGGCAGGCGCTTATGCCGCTGAGCTAAATCCCAGCCCCCTCTAATTTCTTTTATAGTGTCATGAAATTGTTTCTTTACTTCAGTGGCCATCACTTCAGAAACTTCAGAAGTGCAGCTCCTAATCTCTTCCATGTTTACATCTTGTGGGCTTGCTCTGCTTGGGTCAGACGCCAGAGACTGCCTTTTGCTTCTTTATCTTGGCATGTTCATGGGTTCTTCTGGGACAACAGGTAGTGAGGCACTTCCTGTGTTGACTAAAATTTCCCCAAATCATGATTGTTTGGTGCTCCTCGCCAGTGCTGGCTATGAGTTAGCTGATAGTGGCCGTCAGATGCACTGGTGCAGGGCTGACCACTACTTTTTCCTGCTTGCACTGGCTACCAGCATGGGAAGCCTGTATGATGGCTGGAGTGCATATGGGGTGGGACTGTCCTGTTGTCTTCAGACCTGAGCTAGTTACCCACAGAGAGCTCTAGGATGGCCGCTGGAGTACACACGGGCAGGGGCAGGACTGGCTGCTGTTTTCCCACCTGAAGAAACTATATTAACTGGATCCAGCCAATTAGATTACTGTGTCAGTATTGATAATAGAAGAAAGATATGATAAAGTTCTGGATATAGTGGTCAATTTGGGATTCGAGCCACAGCAAAACCTGTTCTGATTAGCATCTACACTGCCTCCCTGGCCGAATAACCCCTGCACAGGACCCGACCATACTGATGTCACATAAATGTCAATTCACAATAATAGTTTGATGGTCGCCATTTCACATGAAGTGAATCCTAGGGGATTCCAAGAAGCTCTGTGTTCAACTCAGGCTTCCACCTGCCTCAGAGTCACCTCAGCTCTCTTGATTCTCACAGATGCCCAGGGACTTTGGGTTGACTCTTTTTATTCAAATCACACACACACAAAAACGGCAGTATGCATGGCAAGTTTATCAAAATTGACCAAATTCTGGAATTAAATGCAACTTCACTGAAGAGAGGACCACTGTAGGACAAACTGAATTTACTGTCAGTGAAGAAAGACCTTCTGTATAGAAGAGTTTATTTTCAAAAACAGGACAGATAGAGGGAATTTTATTTCAGGAAGAGGGAGAAGGATGGGAAACTTTTAAAAAATTGTGTGTTACACAAGTGGATGAAACAATACTAGACAAAGTTGGGAAGAACCTGTATTCAACACAGCAGGAATTTCTGACAATGTGTAGTATCTGTAGGACTCTAATCAGTACTGCTCAGATCAAAAGTGAGGGTTGTGAGCTATGGAAACTTTAGGGAATGCCTCAATTATAAAGCGTGATCAGTGGGACTTAGAATGAAAGACATAGGGACTTGAGAGTCTGTGTTCCCTGATTCAACGAATCTTTAAAATACCATGTCTCCAAAATAAATGTTACTATTCTATATTACTAACATTCACAAATAAGATACCCCATAATAATCTTGGCTGGCATTGGAAAGATACTAAGCTATACTCCTGTTCTGCCATTTGGGAATAGATAGGTGGTGTGGCAAATAACACTTATTGAAGTTTCTGTTTGCAAACCAAGAAATAATATTTGGCTATACCTACAAAATTCATGGAATCTTGGCTTCTTGTGTATGTGATCACTTGTTTATACCCACATTTCCAACAATATTTGGCCTAGAGAATGGGCTGACTTTGTTGTAAAGGAGTTCATAATGATAATGTATTTTCTGACTTCTATAATGTGAGTGTCCTCTGGTTTTGGTATCAGGATAATGCTTGCTTCCAGAAAGTAAGGAGCTTCCATTTCAATTTCATAAAGGAGTTAGAGAAGTAGTAGTATTACATCTTCTCTAAATTTCTTATAGAATTCAGCAGTGAATCCATCAGGGCCTGGGATTTTATTGGTTGGTAGGTTTTTAATTACACTTTGAATTTCATTTTTTGATATGGTTTAATTTAGAATTTTTATATCTTCTTGATTGAGTTTTGATAATTCATGTATTCCTATGAATTTGTCCATCTCTTCTGTGTTTTTCAGCTTATTGGTATACAGGTTCTCAAAGTAGGTACTGATGACCTTCTGGATTTCTACAAGATCTGTCGTGATTACACCCTTTATACTCTTAATTGCATGGACTAATCATTTCTTATCTTTTTATGACAAGGTTGGCAAAGGATCTGTCAGTTTAATTTTTGAAAGAATCAACTCCTCAAATCATTAATTCTTTGTTTTGTTTTATTGGTCTTCGTTGCATTAATTACTTCTCTGATCTTTATAATTTCCTCATTTGTGTGAGTTTTGAGCTTTTCTTGCTCTTCTTTTTCTAAAAGTCTGAGGATCAACATTAGGTTGTTTATTTGAACTTGCTCTGTTTTTCTGACATGGGAATTCAGTACCATAAATTTCCTTGTAGGGTTGCTTTCATTGCATCCTATTAGTTCCAATAAATTATTATTTAATTGTAGAAACTAATTTCTCTTTAATTTTTTTTTAAATTTTATTTAAAGAAAGTCTAAACAAAATAGAAAATAGGTAGAAATAATATATATGTTCACAGAAAAAAATTAACTGTAAGAAATCACTAGTTGATGTTTATATATTGTTGTTTTACAAATAGTTGTTCAAGATACAAAAATGGAACATGTAAAGTGGGAATTTAAACAGTGAGACTGCAAGCAGTTCTGTTCAACTGTCCAACAAAACTTAGCAACATGTTTGTCAATCCTATACACTTAAACATACATGCAGTTATCCATATCTTCAATTACTGAGATTGAATAAACCCAAGCAGGCTAATATTACTCTGAACAAAGAATAATACTAATGCTGGGTTTCACATTATGACACTCCAGGATCAGCACTGGATATTTTAATGTCTCTTTTTCTTCAAAGTATCTCTTCATTTCATCATGTGTCATAAGATCAGTTCTCATAAACTGTTTATAGATTCTACACATGCATGAGTTTTAACATGTATTTATATCTTTTCTTTTGGCCAATTCCTTCCTTCAAATTTTTTCCCACTGGGGGCATCTGGTTGATTTTCAGCCAGGGCTCTCCTTAAAGTCTTCACCCCCAACCTTGGTACTACTGAGAATATGTGGAACTTTTAAGAGTTGGGGCCTGGTGGGAGGAAGTTAAGTCACTGGGGGATGTCCCTCAGGGGGATTTGGGGACCTCAGGAGCGTTTCTGTCTGTGCCAGGAGGTGAACAGATTCCTCTGCTGTGTGCTGCTGCTGTGATTCACTGCACCACCACAGGCCCAATCAACAAGGGTAGGTGATCCTGGATGGAAAACTCTGGTATTCTGGCCAAAATAAACCTTTTCTCTTTTAATTTGATTATTTCAGGTGTTTTGCACTGTAGCAGAAAGCTTTCTAACCAGTGTGCAATTTAAAATTTAGGAATTATTCATTTCTGGAAATGTTCTTTCAATCTTTTTAGACTGTGGCTCACTTTAGGTAACAGTAAATGTAAGTGTGGATAAGAAGGTCAGTCATAAAGTCTTCCTCACTGTGCTCTAACCAGGGGCACTTAATGGTTGTGTTCTTAACAGGTCTAATAGGCAGGGGGACCCTGCATTATCTTGGAGTGGAAAGGACAGCTATAGATGGCTCCTGCTCAGGCTTTGCAGGTTAACATAGGCACTAGTCCAGGTTCTTTCTATATCTCCCACATGGCTGAAGCTGTTCAGGCGGGGAAACTAAGGCTCAGAAAGAGAAGCTGTCTGGTTTTTCTCATTTGTCTCTTTAGGCGACCTTGTCAGCCTAGGTGAGTGCTAGGGAAGGTAACATGGCTAAAAAACTGAGGCCACAATTAAGCTTTCCATGGGAAGCCACACAAAGCCCAATTACCTCACTAAGAGTTTCAGGATCCACTAGTTGTGGTGGGAATAAGGCTTCTAAAATCAGAAGATGCCTGGTCTCTCACTGCTGCCTGTCTCTCCTCCACATGATCCTGGAGCCTCGGGGCTGCCTCCTGATCCTTTTCTGATGATCCTTCCTTGGGATTTCTTTCCCCCTGTCTGTTCCCATCTCTCTTTCCCTGACCTTTTCATGAGCCCCATCCTTTGTCCCTGCCACCCTCCCCCAGGTCTAGGAAAGTCCTAGGTCTGGGCCTTGACCACCCTCTAGAGGCCTCAGCATGCATTGCACCCCAGCTCACCTTGGGAAGCAGTGTGATGAGAACATCCTTCCTGAGGCTGTGGAGGCTGTGATCACTGTAGTCAGCATAAGGGCCCAGCAGATCAGTTATGGGGAATCAGTCACTTGGGGATTCAGTCATGCCATGCTGGGAGCACCAAGGGTGGGAGGCCACTTCAACCCTTTCCCGCTAATTTCCCTGTCTTGGAGGATTCCCTGCTGAGTCCCTGCTCTGAGCCAAAGGCCCTCTCACCTACTCAGCCTGGCCCAGCAGATCAGCTCAACTTGAGTGTCATGTTTCTTCCTTCTTCAAGGAAACCTGCTGTGGCTCTGTATGGTGTTCCAGGTTGGCTGTGGGGACAGCCAGGCTGAGCTCTTGCAGCAGGACAGCCAGTGGGCTGCAGGAGTGTTCCCTAGCTTCCCATGGGGTGCAAAAAGCAGCTACTCAGGCCTTGCAGAGGCGGAGGGTAGAGGCTGGTACTTGAGGGAAGGCTGCTGCGGAAAGTGAACCTTCATCCTGTGCCAGTGAGCTCTACACTGGGCAGGAGGCTCTGCTTCAGAGGAGGTAGGGGAAGCTGATTGCAGCAGGTTGCTCATCACTGAGCTTGCACTAGGCTGCTGTTCTCTAAGCCATTTATTTTATCCACTTAGTCACAGGGTGGCTGGGACACCAGAATTCAGCTGGCTCAGTATCTTCTCTGTCCAGGACCTTGGGACCAGCCTGGGATAGATTGCAACCTCCTGAACTTGTTCCTCTCAGGGGAGGAGAAGGACACTGAAGAAGTCTCTGGAGTGCTTGGCCAGAGGTGCTGGAAAGCCAAGACTTGTTTCTTCCCAGAAGAGAGAGTGAGCCAATCCAGAACCAGTGCTATTGAAGACTGTATATCTTAAATTGAGTTACTCTGTGGGTTCATCTCTGTCTTTTTGGTCACCACTTATGTGGTACACTCAAAGCCACACCATATGCTGTACAAGGTTTGTATTTCTTCCTTAACCCAGTAAATAGGTTAAAATTGACCACTAGATCCTGCAGGTGCTGGCTGGTGGCTGGGGCTTCCAGTTCTGACCCTATGTCCTCTCCACAGGGTGTCCTGGGTGTCCTAATATATTATGCTCAATGTCTTTCCCTGGATCAAGGGATCCCACAAAGCACAGCCTAACTGCAGCTTTCTTGTGCTTTATTTCTTGCCTCTGAAGTTATGCAAGGTTACTTCTGCTTCTTCCCTCCTGTAATATCTGTATCTCTGCCACTGATTCCTCCTCTTAATGTGTTTGTGAACACATTAAGGAAATGCTAAAACAAAGAACAAAAAAAGATGTAATATTAAATTTGAATATCAAAAGTGATTGAGTTTGACAGTATTATTTATGTACAACTTAATGACAAGTTAAATTTTTAACTTAATGAAAATTGAGAAGAAATATATTTCTAGAATAGATGGAAAACTTGAATAAATCAATGACAAGAAGAAACTGAAAAGTTTGGTTTAAGATTTATCCTTGCAAAGGTGTTGAAACCAATTGTTTTAAAGCATAATTATTCTTAGCTGGTAAGAAAGTAAGTGTTGTATTATTCAAAATATTCTGCAAAATAGAAAGGGAAGTAAATATTTCCAATTCATTTCACATATGAATTTCATATCAAAATTTGATGTACCATGAAAAATATAATTAATTGCTTGAGTAATATGCATACAAAAATTGAAATAAAATGCCATATATTTATACTCAAGTACTTATTCAGGTTAATGTACTATGGGAAAGAGGAGTTTATAGCATATATGTAATGATAGCTTAATAATAGTAATCACATATCAAATGAGTATATGGAACTGTAAAACCATATAATTATGTTGTAATTAGGGAACAACACTTGCCAAAGTTTAGCAGCCATTTTTCACAAAATCTACATGAACAAGTAGTAATTAAAATGCTGTACCTTGACTATGTAGCCCAGGCTGGTGACTCTCCTGCCTCAGCCTCCAAGTGCTGTGATTAGTTGTCTGCCATCATGCCTAGTCTAGGTGACAGTATTGTATCACTGTTAAATTACCTGGTTTTGAAAATTTTACTGTGATAATGTAAGAGAATATCCCTGCTTTTAGGAAGTATACCCTGCAATATGTAAGAATGAGGAAGCATTATGTTTATACTCAATACACACACACACACACACACACACACACACACACACACAGAGGAAGAAGACATTAATAGTAAAACAAAGGTGGCATACGTTAACCATTAATAAATGTGGGTAAAGGAGTTTTTCTACTATTTTCCAACTTCTCTATAAATTTGAAACTATTTCAAATTTTAATATTTAAATAAAAACAGGTAAAATGGAACTGGAAGGAAGGAGTCTGAGGTGAGCTCCTCTCCTTTCCTTTGACTGGAAACTGCTATGATTGGCAGGAAAAAGTCTGAGATAGTTTCTTCTCCCCACTCTTAACTGGGAGCTAGGGAGACTGATGAGAAAGAGACCTGAGACAGGTGCTTGTTCTCGCCATTAATGGGACTCAGAGACCAGAGACCAGTGGGAAAGTCAGACTCAATAGAACCCCAGTACAATGCACAAGATGGACAGGCAGGGCTGGAAGTGCAGAAAATTGTGAGGGAACAGTAAAAATATGAGCCGGCAGGTGAAGTTTGGAAACTGAAGCCTGTAGCCTTCACAGGCCAAAAGAAGAAACAACTAACCCTACTCCAGGAAGCACTATGGCTGCCTTCCAGAACCTCCAGTCAGAATGGACTGGGAGAACTATCCAGCCATGCCTCAGAGAAACTGTGTGTGTCTGGAGAAGCCCAATACTTACCCCACCACTTCCCCAGGAACCTAAGTTAAAGGAAACTCAGGTGTCTGACACATTTCCCTACACTGAAAATGGGTAGCCAATGTCAGAACTGCCTGGGACCCCACAACTGGCTCATCTGAAGGAAACCAGGAAAATGTCAAAATGAAATAACAAAAAGCAATCTCTGGCCTCTAGCCCACACAGAACGAGTCTAGGAGACATAGATATCGAATAAATTGGAAGTTGCAAACCTGAAATTTCAGGGATGATAACAACTGAAGTAAAGAAACTATGTCATGAGGCTATAAAAGAAGTCAGATCAGAAATAACATCTCAGGTAAAAGAAGAAATTACAAATATTAAAAGTGTTGCTGAGTTTATCTAAAGAAGACATAGATATTTTATTTATTTTATTTTATTTATTTTTGTAATGGGGATCAAACTCATGACCTTGCACTTGCCAGGCAGGTGCTTATGCAGCTGAGCTAAATCCCCAGTTGACATAGATTTTTTAAAAAGCAGCATAAGGAAATGAGGCAAACCTCAAATGAGCAACATAGGGAAGGACTGGAATGCATGAAACAGAGTTCAAAGAGATATCCAGGAAATATTAACAATCCATTGAAAGCTGGAAAAACTGCTTGAAAGAAACTGAAGATAGACTTTCAGCCCTTGAAGGCAGGATTGCAGCTAGTTATTGGAAAAGAAAAGACCTATTAAAAATAATAAGAGGTGCTCGGCTGGCTCTGGGGAATTGGGCCTGCCTACACCCTCAACTCTGGAGACTAGGTGGCCTGGGGTGACTGTTCCTACACCATCCTGAGCCCCAGGAGTTTAACATCTTGCTCCCACCAGCCAGGGAACTTCACAGCTTCCTGCTGCACTGGACCAGCTCAGCAGGTCTTGGGCATGCCTGCACCAACTTTCCGGCTTCCTGCCATGCTCTGCCAGATCTGGGGATTTGGGTCTGCCAGCATCCTCAATTCTGGAGACTGGGAGGCCTGGGGTGAGTGTCCCTGCACCATCCCAGGCCCAGGAGTTTAGGATCATTGCTCACAAAAGCCAAGAAACTTCACAGCTTCCTGTCACACTCGACCAGCCCCACAGGGCTTGAGCCTGCCTGCCCCACCACCCACTCTCAATCCAGGGAACTGGGTAGCCAGAGTCCGAGGAGCTGAGGGTATACAAGATGACATCCAAGAGGGCCTGGGGAAGCCTTGAAATAACACTTGAAACATGGAAATATAGGAAATTGACAAAATGAAAGACCAAAATACAATCTCAAACATCCATCCCATTACAAGAAACCATAGGAGCTATGTTCATAGAAGAAAATATATGCCACAGACCTGAAATACCTGAAATAATAGCAACTGAGATAAAGAAGCAACTCTAGGAAGCTTTAAAGGAATTTAAACTAGAAACAATCTCTCAGGTAAAAGAAGAAATCATAAAAGAAATGAAAGAGATGCTGAACATATCTCAAGAAGACACACTTAAAAAATTGGAGGAACTAAACAAAAAGATAGAATCCCTGCATGAATAATATAAGAAAAAAACAGAATAAATAAAAAAGATGCAAAGAGATATATAGGAAATACAAAAATTCCATTGAAAGTTGTAAAAAACCACCTCGATGAAAGTGAAGATAGAATTGCAGACCTTGAAGACTAGATTGAAGCTAGTGAACAGGAAAGGAAAGATCTTTTAAAAATAACAATGAATCAGGAAATAACAATTCAATGTCTGCAAGATGATGCAAAGAAAAACAATATAAGGTTGATAGGGATAAATGAAAAAGAAGAGGACAACATGAAGGATGTCAAGAGGACATTTAGAGAAGAAATCCTGAAAATTTCGCAAAAATGAGAATGGAAACTGACATCAGGATCAGTGAAGCATATAGAGCTTCAAATAGCCATAAGCAAACTAAAACTACACCCAGACATATAATAATCACCATCCCAGAAATCCAACATAACAATAGAATATTAAAAGCTATCCAAGAAAAAAGACAGATCACCTATAAAGGAAAGCCTATCAGAATCACAGCAGATTTCTCAACACAAACAATGAAGTCAAGAAAAGCATAGAGAGGGGGCTGGGGATTTAGCTCAGCGGCATAAGTACCAGCTTTGCAAGCAGGCGGTCGTGAGTTCGATCCCCGGTACCGGTAAAAATGAAAAAAAAGACAAAAAAAAAAAAAAAAAAAAAAAAAGAAAAGCATAGAGAGAAGCATGCCAGATCCTAAAGAAAAATGCTTTCCAACCTAGAATGATGTACCCTGAAAAACTGTCCTTCAAAATGGATGGAGAAATAAGATACTTCCATGATGAAGAACAGCTGAAGAACTTCACGATCACCAAGAAAACTCTGCAAAGAATACTGAAAGACAGTTTAGACACACTTAGGAAAAAAACACTAAACAAAGCAGACAATTAAACAGAACCGAAAGATAAAGATACAACAGCAGAAAGATAATATTTCAACAAGAAACCAACATATAACAGTTATAGCCATTAATGTAAATGGTCTCAATGCACCAATTAAAAGAAATAGACTGGCAGAATGGATCAAGAAACAAAATCCAACCATATGCTATCTACAAGAAACCCATCTAACCCAAAAGGATACTCACAGACTAAAAGTCAAAGGATGGAAAACAATACTTCATGCAACAGGAACCCAAAGAAAAGCGGGGTAGCTATTCTGTTTCCAGACAATGTGAACTTCAAGCCAATAATGATCAGAAGGGATAAAGAAGATCACTACATACAGGTTAGGGGAAAACTCAATGAGAAGGAGATAACTATCTTAAATATATATGCACCCAGTTATGTAAAACAAGTGCTAACAGAAATGAAAACCAAATTAGTAGTAACACAATTCTAACAGGAGATCTTAACACACCATTGACACCAATGGACAGATCAACCGGACAGAAAATCAGCAAAGAAATGAAAGAGATGAATCACCTGTGAACAAATGGGCTTAATAGACATATACAGAGTATTCCACCCAACAACAATAGAATACACATTCTTCTCAGCAGTACATGGGTCATTCTCTAAAATAGACTATATATTAATTCAGAGAACATATTTAAATAAATGCAAAAGGGTTGAAATTATCCCTTGCATGCTATCGGACCATAGCGCTATGAAATTAGAAATTAATGAAAAAGATACTGCAAAAATCCCACAAACACATAGAAACTGAATAACACACTCTTGAGTAATCCATGGGTCACAGGGGAAATTAAAGAAGAAATTAAACAATACCTGCAAACAAATGAAAACACAAATACAACTTACCGGAATCTGTGGGATGCAATGAAAGCTTTCCTCAGAGGAAAACTTATTGCACTGAGTTCCCACATCAGGAAAACAGAATGGATACAAATAAATAACCTGATGTTACACCTCAAACATCTAGAAAAAGAAGAGCAAGTCAAGACCAAAGCCAAAAGAAGAGAAGAAATTATAAAAATCAGAGCAGAAACTAATGCAATAGAGACTAAAAAAACAATCCAAAAAATCAACAAATCAAAGA